ACTGTCTATATAAACTTGCTTACTTGTTATCAAGGGGGGCTGGTTCTTGGAGGAGATGGGCTACTCTTTGTTGTTGTATGCATGCTTCAATAAAGAGGTTTGAGATAAGACCTTGCTGGTGTTGCCTGTCTCTTGCGGTCAGACAACGGACCTGGGAAGTTGGGGTTTGAGTCCCTGACAGTAGTGAGTTGGGGCTTTTTTTTTTCCCCAAATGCCAGGAGCTGGGGCCAGCAGGGCAGCCATTGCTGGCCTGGGAGAGCAGGTCGGGGATGGGCCTGAGTGATTCAGAGATTTGGTAGCAGCTGAATTTCCGAATCAGATTCGGCTGAATCAAAATCTGGACAGTGATTCGAATCACCAGATTGAATCACTGTCCCCCAAATCAGCCCAATCCGAATCCAAAGCAAATACTAGCTGCTTCTCACAGGCCTAGTAACTACCAGTATAAATGGTCCTCTACAAGGCAACATTCCCCTCCGGGGTTCCTGTCTGGTCAAATCTTTTGAATTCCATTGCCCCAGCATCAAAGGATCAAGAGCCAACTTCATTTTTAAATGCTAAGCAAAGTCTTCAGAGCCATATCTGCTCTGGATACCTGTCACATTTAGTTTAAATTGGTTAGGAACCAGTAAATCAAAATAAACCACTCAAACCAAATTAAGTGGGTTTAACTAATTCACAGTTTTAAAAAACCCATTATTAGTTTAAACTGATGCAAATTCTGGGTATAAACAAACCCGCCTCAATAGCCATTTATGAGCACGATCCTATTTTGGAAAACTGAGGCTCTGCTTTATTATGGCAAGTGAAATAGGATGTATTACAAGTCAAGGAAGGATGTGTGTATGGTGGTGTCCTCCTGCTCTAAAGAAATGTTATACCATGTGAAAGAAAACCTAGACTCCCCTTGCACCTACCTTCTTGATAGCTGGCAGGCTTTGTGGCCACAGCAGGGGCTAGGCCTGCAGTTTTCACCCCCTGTGCCCCAAGACAGACACAGTCCCAGAAGCACCCATGTCACGAGTTTTGCCTGTCAGCAGCTAGAGGTGCAGGGCCCCAGAACCCCCCTGCACCTATCTCCTTGACAGCTGGCAGGCTTCATGGCCTCAGCAGGGGCTAGCAGGCCTGCAGCTTTCAACCTGCTGCACCTTAATGCACACAGTGTCACCCATGTCACAAGTTTTGCTTGTCCACAGCTTGCGGTGCAGTTTCCCCCAAACCCCTGCACCTATCTCCTTGAAATCTGGCAGGCTTTGTGCCCTCATCAGGGGCTACCACCCCTGCAGTTTTGACCTTGCTGTAGTTTAACACATACATGACATGAGTTTTTTCTTTCAAGACTTTGAGGTACAATTTCCATGAAACCCCTGCACCTATCGCCTTGAAATTTCGCTGGATTCATGCCCTCAGAAGGGGCTACCATTCCTGCAAGTTTCATCCCGGTCAGGCCAGAAATGACAACGTTATAGGCTGTTTTGGGCTTCCCCATTATAGCCCCTAGGCAAAATGTTGAAACAGTGAAACTGTTTCAAAGAAACAAAATGGAACAGCAATTTTGAATCGAAACGAAATTCTAAACGAAACGCTGTTCCGTCGAAACAGAACGGTGCCATTTCACACAGCCCTAATAAATAACACGAAGAGCTGTCCATGCTAAACTGGAACCCAGTTGCTATGGAAAACACCAAATTTGATAGCACCTAATTAGCCCTGTAGTTACCAGGAAGGACACATGTTTCATTTGTGGTTACGTTTAGGTTTCCAATGAAATCAGGAACTTAAATATTTTAAAAAGAAAAAATGGAAATAGAAAGATTATTGCCAAAAATAAAGCTAGCTGGGAGATGGTTTTCTTATCCCAGGAAGTTTTTCTGTATTTTGAATAGTCTTTTCAACTTACACTGGGAAGAATAATCAAATTCTTATAACTTTCTACAAACTACTTATCAAAAATAAAATAAAATAAAATAAAATGCTTTAGGTCAGCCAAAATGTTTCACTTTGACTTCAGCCTCTTTATTTTTGTGTACTGTAAATAGCCGTAAATGGGCACATTTTTAATTTGTTTGTGAAGCAATTTCAAAAGACACTTAACAGCCAAATTCTGTGCAGTATAATATTGCCTTGCTTCCAACGTCATAAATCCAGCAGCGTGTTTTTAATAAAGCTTATGTCAGTGCTCAGTGCTGTGTGGTTGCCTTGCAAAAACGCGCTTTTATTGGTGCCTCCAACCTGATGTTTCTCCCTTCCCCCAGCACAATGGCTAACCCCCTCATGACATACATGAGTCAACACATTCATCTGCCAAGCCCCATTCAGACTCTTTAGCAACCTGCTATCAGAGCTCTTAGCCAGCCAAGGACTAAACATCAAAGGCACAAACAGCAGTATACAAGTGCAATTAAAACAAGGCTGGCCTGGCTTTTACAAGAAGCACTGCAGCACTGCATAGCAAGGATCCAAACAATCTATAGCGTTTTAACAGTAGAATGTAAAACTCATCTAACAAAAGAAATTGATTTTTTTATGTAGCACATAGTTAACCTGTGGAACTCATTACCACAGGAGGTTATAAAGGCAGATGGTATAGCCAGGCTCAAGAGGGGACCATACAAAGTCATGGATGATAGATTCATTAATGCAGTGGCTCTCAACCTTTTAAGACTCAAGGCAGCCCTCAGAAAATGCCAACTTTTAGTTCCAACTCATTTTTTGACTATAGAAAAAAATAATAGCAAAGAACTCAGAAAGCCCAGAGCAGGTCAGAATGTTCTGAACACTATGGATTCCTCTTTGAAATCTCTGGGTTTACCCTGTGAATTATGTTTGCATACCCAACAGTGCTATCTTTGCGTAGCACCCTGCAGTACCCTTGAAAGGATCTTAAGGTAACTCAGGGTGCCATAGCATATGGCAATAATAATAATAATAATAATAATAATGCACTATAAGCCCTAGAGTCCCTTGGCTGCCTCCACTGTCTTCATCTATTTCTGTCTATTGTGTGCCCTTGTCTTTCAGTCATCCACACTTAATTTCTGTAGGCCTGACACTGCAATATCCAGTCATTGTTGTCCTGATTGACAATCACTACATTAATAGCTACAAAACAGAACAGTCCAGGGTGTATCCTTTGGCACCTCTAAACTAATGGTGGTGTATGCCAGGAGGGTATGACAGAGAGAAATCACTCTAGATATACCCTGTTCACATGCTCTTCTTCTCATCCACTCCTGCTATTATTGGGGACAGGATACTGAGTTCAAAGGTCCATTGGTCTAACCCAGTATGGTACTTCTTATGTTCATTTGGACCCTGTTCATACCCAAGTCCTCTTCACTGAGCAGTTCAACAGTCTGGTCTTCTGACATGCCATCACTAAAACGTGGGTCCTTCTCATCTGGAAAGCTTGCGTTTCACTTAGAATCCCATGGGACTCTTTCCATCCACCTCCAGTCTGTTCACTTCTAAGCTGCCCACACAGCTTGAAGAGATCCCAGTCTCCACCACTTGCTACACGTCCTTCACTAGAATGGACTGTGTTCAACCTAGACCACGGAAGTGCTGAAGGAGATGGGGGACAGAGGTCAGTATGGATTCACTGGACATGCCTTGAAGCAGGACACTCATTTCCACCCCCCATTTCCACCTGTTTAGATCAATGTCTACAGATACTCCTGAGTTACATCAGTGTCAGAGAAAAATCTTTGTCACTGGCTTTAAATATCTTCTTGAATTCTTAGCTCACCCAAAAGACACAGAGACCTTTGAGCACTTTTCCCTGATTCCGACTCATATACAGGTTTCCTCTCCAGTGAAACCTACCTCCACAGGGCCACATCCTCAGCTTGTGTAAACTACTGCTGCTCCACTAAAGTCGGTTTACACCATTTAAGTTCCACCCCTGTACAAAATTCAATCACTCATCCATCTTATATCACCCACTGACTTCACATGCAGGGGTGGATACTTATTGAAACTCACCCAATACACGGCTATAATAGGAATCCCATTCCTTCCAAACCAGGAGCTGCAGCATGTCATGCATGAAGTAAAGCAATAGGTTTTGAGTCCTCTCCAGGAAGGACATCTTTTCCTGCAGCTGGGAAGTGGCAGCTGGTACATAAGAAGGAGGAGCTAGCACTTGACCACACAGCCTCTCAAATGCAAACCCTGGAGAAAACCTTAGGGTGAAGATAAAGGGGAGTCTCAGCATCACTGCCAACAGCTCACCACAGGGGATTACTGGATCTGTGAGGAGGATGTCATAGTGGGATGAGCGCAGTTTTTCCAGCAGCTTCCTGTTTCTTACTGCCCCATTGCATATCTGTCTGTACAAGGTAGTACTGCTCTGAGAAAGGCTTCTCATTGTGCTGTGCATCTGCCAGAAGGAGAGCTGAGATTTCTCAAAGATCCAAAACCAGAGGAATCTCTCCCACAGTGCCTGCAGCTCACCAGCAGTAAAGCTGATCTCAAGGGTTTCAAAATGAAGAGCAGAAGTCGAAGTTGCATTGACAGAAAGGGATGCCGAATGGACCAGCACTGTGATGTTATGGCCCCTGTCCACCAGTTCCTCAGTCACTACCTTCAGATTCCTCCAATGACTGTACTCAGCAGGCCAAACAAGTACATTCCCAGGGCATGAGTTCTTAGCCAGCAAAGAGAGGCAAAGAAATATTTTGCCGATGCATGCCAGAGATAGCATGGCTGCAGCAGCTGAGGATGAGCAGGGGCTGCCTTTATGTAGGAGCCTGCCTCTCAGGAGTAAGTCATAAAAAATTCATCCTATCAGTAACAAACCCTGTGTTTTATTCATCAGCTTTCTGCTTCTGGAAAACCTGAACAGGAGTTTTACTCAGCATGGAATGAATCAGGTACCAGAGGCCTCCTTATCAGAAGTTAATGGCAGCTCATGCTGGGAGCTTGTTGTTCTATGTCATTTCTAAAATCAGGGAGATTTTCAAAGGTGCAAATAGGAGTTCAAAACCCAAATGCCATTGACTTTCAGTGAGAGTAACAGGTCTGATTTGCAGAGTATCCAAGCAGGCAGATGGGTGTCTATAAACCTCACTAGGCACATAAGCAATTAGGCACCTAGGCTAGAAACAAACATTCAAAAAGCCGGAGCCTGAATTGATTCAATCTTTGCAGGTTAGTCTAACCTGCCTAGATGGAAACAATTTGCAAGTGAATAAACATTCAGGAAATGCAGCCATATACCTGCAGTGGCTCAGGCCAGGGGCCAGGGGGACGCTAGAGCTACCCTCACCCGCAGGGAAGCTGTGCTGGGGGGGGCATGGCAGCCCCAGCAGGAGCCTCAAGTGAACTGGCCAAGGAGGAGGTTTAATTCCGCCCCTCCCTGTCCCACGAGCATGGACCCGGTTCAGGATCATCACTTCCCCTCCTCGCTGCTGCAGCTGCATGGCGAGATGCTGGCTGGCATGGCCTTTTGAGGCAGAGGGGGCAGGGAGAGGGGTTATTCCCCACTCTGCCCCAGGAGGACCATAGCCAGGGTCTGCCAGCCCTGATCACTGCTGCCACCAATCACTCCCTGTGCAGGGTAAGCAGTAGAATAAGTTCTCTCCCTGCCCCCTCTGCCAGAAACCACAGGGAGGGAGGAATAACTCCCCTCCATGCACCCCTGCTTAAGGGGGGCCGTGCCCCTGCTGCTGGACTGTTGAGGGGGCAGGGACCCTGATGGGGGCAGCAGCCCTTCTCATGGTGTCCCAGGACCTGCAAGCCTCTTCCTGCACTGTGGGGGGCTGCACTATGAGGCAGTCAGAGCTGCCACAGACTGTGCGGGGCAAGCAGCAGCAGTGCTAGGCAAGGCTTGGGAGCCTAAGGCCACCCCGCTAAGCCCCAGTGCTTCCACTTGCCCTACGCAGGGGGAAGCAGCTCTGACCACTCCACTCTTACCTGCAGCACAGCCTTCCTTCCCCCCCACCAGCTGCCAGGAAGAGGCTTGAGCTCCTGGGAAACCATGAAAGGGGGTTCTGCCCCCATCAGGGTTGCTCCCTCCTCACTGCTCCAGTGGCATGGCCCCTTGGGCAAGAGGGCAGGAAGGGGGGTTATTTCCCCCTCCTTCCAGTGTCAGGCAGAGAGGGCAGGGAGGGGACTTATTCCACTGCTCACCCCGCACAGGGAGTGACTAGTGACAGTGGCAGTCAAGACAGGCAGACCCCAGCTGCAGTGCCCCAGGGACAGAGTGGGAAATAAACCCCTTTCCTGCCCCCTCTGCCTCAGGCGGTATACCAGACAGCATCTGGCCATGTCCCTGCCCCTGCAGTGGCAAAGGGGAAGCGCCAGGTGGACCCTGGTTTGGGTCAATTCTGGTGGGACAGGGAGGGGGGAATTAAACCCCCTCCCTGGCCAGTTCACTTGAGGCTACTGCTGAGGCTGGCCATGCCCCCACTGCTGGTGCAGCAAGCAAAGAAATGCCTGGCAGGAGTCCATGCTGGTGGGACAGGGGAGGGAGAAGGAATAAACCTCTTCTCTGCTCCCTTCTCCTTAGGGCAGCTGGCATCTGGCCACACCCCCACCGCTGCCACTCCCTGCTCTGGCTAAGGAGTAGAGGGGCCGGAACAGAGGGGCAGAGCAGCCCTGCTGTGCTGGAGCAGAGAGCACAGCCCTGCCCAGAGCTGCAGAGCATGCTGGGATGCTGGAGGACTCTGGTTTAAGTGAAACTAGGAAAGGGTCTGAGACAGAAGATGCATAAACTAGTTTGAGCTCAATCAGTTCAGTCTGATACTACATTCAACCAGGTTTATCTCAAACTGCATTCGGCCATTTTGAAACTGGTTTATGTGCACTGAACTTATGTTCTGTTACAGTTTAAAACCTGCTTCTGATCACTTAAACCAGTTTGTGTGTAACTTCTGTCCCTAGCCCTAATGCCTGCTGGCTTCTTGCCTGTTGAAAAAGCATCTACCCTGCATTATTAAGTACTTAAATACTTTCTAAATTCAGCCCTTTATACCTTACCTTGCCTTTCTGCTTTCAAAAAGCTTTTCCACATTCTGTGCTTCTCAAAATATAATAGTCCACTGCAATTCAAAGAGTGTAAACTACTGCGATGAAAGGAAAGCAAGAGCTGAAAAGACACAGACCAAGCTCTTGATTTTGGAACTGGACTGCAGGGGCATGCATTGGTATTAGTGGATCTAAATTCACATGGGCACAAAAGTTTGCATGTGCACATCAGTTTGCAGGATTGCTTTAGGTCAAGTCCACCCTGCAAGCTTTGTGTCATAACTATGAACCCTTTTGCTGATATACTTTCATCTTTGCGCAGGTGGTATAACTCTGCTGGCAAAAGAACCCTTTTTTGTAAGCATGTACTTCACTAGGCAGCTTTGCTGGTGTTGTTATAATAGACTTGGTAATATAGAGCCCTTAGTTTTGAATTTCAGCTAGCCCTTAGTTTCTGCAGCTGTCTCTGGGGTCTTGGTTCTATTTTGGTGTTACTCCTGCTGGTTTACACTTTCAGTTCCCTGAAGATCTAGGGGTTAGATTTTCTAAAATACTCAGTCTCAAAAGGGGCTACATTTTCAAATGTGCTCAGCACACAACAGCTCAGTGTAGCATCCAGGGGTTGGTTTTCAAACAGGGGGGGCATCCAACATGTTGAGAAGGTCTGGCCCTCTCAAGAATAGGAAAAAAGAAGCTATACCTGTAGAGTGAATTTCTAGACAGTCATTTTTCACCTTAGGTAACAATAACAAATATACACCCATGACCTGGGTTAAACCTACAGCTTCAGTGAAAGCATTTACTGTACCTCTTTATTGCTTTGTCAGAGAAAGGGATCTTAGGAGTGGCCACAGAGCATCCTCACCAGTAGTGTAACTAGGGTGGGATGAGAGGGGCACCAGCCTTGGGTGCCAACTTAGAAGGGGCAGCAGAATTAACCCATACCCCTAAGAGACTTTCCACAACACATGGAGCCCTGCATAACCCAGCCAGAGGGTCTCCAGAGAGCTCAGAGCGCTGCCAGTCTATGCTGTTGAAGCAGCAGCAGTAGCAGTCACCATTCAAATGAGGAGTATCTGAACAGTTAAGATTCGTCCCCTCCCACTCCCCCTCCACCTCCTACCAACTGTTGGGGCTCCGTATAAAATTCCTCTCCCCCCACACCAGGTGCTGAGAGAGCTTGTGTTGCCTCTTCTCCCCACCACCTGCATTTCAGGTTTGGAGCATGTGGATCAGGAGTGGGTGGGCAAAGCTTACTTCTTGGCAGCAAACTCAAGAAGAGGGTGGAGATAGTGTTCCTGAACTGCTTGCCAAGGGTTGCACAAGAAGTCTGCAGCAAAGGTGGGCACTGAACCCAAACCTCCTGAATGTCCTGCCAGTACATCAGGCAGAAGACCTTCTTGCACTTGTGACCACCCAGCTTGGTTATTCAGATTCATTATTTTACTTAGTAATGAAATCACAAACCCCAAAACAACGCTGAAAGCTACAGAAAACAGCAACCAACCATTCAGTAAAATGGGTGGCCCTTAACATCTTGCTTTTTTGCTCTAACTACTGCAGCAGCTCTCCCATTTATTTATTTCTTACTTGTGGAATAAAGGTATTGCCAAGACAGTGAAATTGTATTGTTTACCAGCCTTTCAAGACATCTCTCATAAAATGGGATGTCTATACCAGTGGGAGGCCCAGGGAGAATGCCTTCACTTAGACTTGGTCCTGGTTAACTCCATGTTTGGACACTCTTATTCAGGAATAAGAGTGCCTTGCATCTACCATCTCCTGCATGCCAAGAGCCAACATGACACTAGCCCCACATTGGCCGGCTCTATGCATTGCACACAGCAAACTGGGTAGGGAACAGGCAGCACAGCAGTAGATAGGGCAGGGAGCAGAAAGCAGAGCAACAGACTGAGCCAGGGACAGGGATTGGTATGGCACTTAGGGAAGGCACAAGGCTTAATTTGTTTCATACCTGTCAAAACAGTTGGACCCCACTGCTGTAGACAATCCCTTTTATAAGACATGTATGCTGCCCCTATATGCCACTAGGTGACAGTAATGTATCGTAAACAGGGCTTGAATGTCTGGTAAACAGTACAATCCCATTGTCTAGGCAATCCTTTTATTCTGTAATTAAGAAATACATCCATTTCACTGTGAGAAGGCAAAAGCTTCTGAACCCTGTCCAACTATAATGCTTATTGTTTACCAAATTGTATTGTATCACAGGGTCTGCCATTACTACTTGATAGTACTGTTTGGCTTCTTTCCTCTTTCATTCTCATTCCTTTCTTCCCAAAGAAATCTGACAGCTATTGTAATGGAATAGTGATGGGAAGCTGAGGTGAGTCGCCGAGACCCTGTAATCTCAACAATAAAATTTAATTTTTCTGAGGAATTAAGGCCTTGATCCTGAAGAAGTACTCAAGTTCAGCAAGCAGCTGAGTTCCATGAAAGCCGAAGGTATGCAGCACTTGCAGGTTCCAAGCCAAACTAACTACCACTGATTGCATGTAATTAATACCCAAGTCAATTATTATTGCAGCCAAACAAATTAGCTCAATCAACAGCTCCCAACAATTCAGAACAAAGCCTTTGTGTGAACTGAAATCTCAATACTCTCTCTGTTTATTTCGGGTCACAATGTACACAAATGGAATATGTTTTGAAAAGGGAGGATCGGTTTTAAATAACCAGTGATGTAAGCATGGGATCTGTTACAAAGCTGCTATTGATTTCAGTATTCCAGCTGAGACCGTCTGAATATTCCTCTGACTCACCAGGCCAGCTATTAGGCATATTGGAAAGCAAGGTCAGAATGTATTTTACTTCAGCCTTTCATTTATGTCTGATCCGTGGAACTGACAACGACAATTTGAATGTCATTTCTGGTTACAGCAAGAAAGGATTATCACATCCTCTGTTCTGCATAGCATAAGCCAAATCATTTCACCCAGTACACCTGTATTGCACTTTCTATGATAGAAGAGGTTTCACGCTAATATATTTTGCTATTTGGGAGAAAAGGGGTTGTGCTCTGGGATTTATTAGGGGATTATTCAAGAAGGAAAGAATTCATGTTTGAGGAAATTATAAGAGTAACCACTTCATAGTTAAAGTAACAGAAAGTTTCTAAAAAACCCCTAAAGCCGGCTCCTTCTAAGAACTGGGGAGGTTGGCAGGGGCCAAGGCAGGTTTTGTAGGAAAAATCTGAAGTCAGTGAACAAGGGGTTCCACAATCTATGTCTGGAAAAGAAACAAATTTTGTGTTTGATCCCACTGAAGGAGGCATGGCACAACTATCCTTCCATCACCAAGACCTAATGCCTAGAACCACAAAGAGAACTGATTACATAAAATCCAAAAAGCTAATGGCCTTCTTTTTGGACTTATGGAAAGGATATAGGGTACACTGAAGATGTCAGACTAGAAGGTCTAGCCCAATGGTCCTTTCTGTATTCAGCCATGGCTCTATGCCATAAGAGCATTATGCTCAGATTCCCAGCTGAGGATATGTCACCTACATTGCAGTTATAGGGACGTAGAGTTTGTATAGGCACACTTGAGCTAGTTTTAAATTGAGCTAGCATGGATACCAAAACCAGCAAAGTTGTGGCAGCCTGGGTTTCATGCAAGAACCTGGTTAATACTCAGGTAGTTGGCCTGTGCTGACTCAGGCAAGCAGTGCTTGAGCTAGCTAGTTTGGGCATGCCTAGATAAGCTGCTTCCACACTTTTGATTGCAATGTAAACCCATCTAATATTCAGTTTCAGCTCCCCCCTGCACCTAACAAGAGACATAGGGGGGATTTGCCAAACAGTATGTTTATTTTCTTGTCAGGTAGGTCCCAGTGGATATGGCCATTGGCAGCATGGGGCAAGTAAGGGCAGTGCAACACCTCAGCTGGCTACTTTGAAGCTAGTTTGGACATGTCTACATGCCTCTACCACAGCAAGCACCTGCTGTGCCTGCTTGCCCCACTGCCACTACCTCAAGCTGGATCTGGCCCATGAGGAGTCCTGTGGTTCAGATTTGGCCCAAGGTATGGAGGTGAGAGTGACACTTCTGGCCTAAAAGATAGAGGACATATGAAGTTAACTGAAAACTGCATAAGCTAGGTACAAACAATCAAAAAGCCCAAGGCTGAATTGATTCAGTCTTTGCAGGTTAGTCTAAACTGCACAGATTAAATTGAAACAGAAGTGAACAGACATTTACCTTTGATTCAGGCAATGCAGCCATATGCCTGCAGTGGCTTAGGCCAGAGGCCAGGGGGTGCTAGAGCACAGCTCTTTGGCTGTGTGTTCACTTCTTCCTGCTGCCCTAAAGTCTCTGGGATTTGCAGTCCAGTATTACAACAGCAGGACTCTGCAGGGGTGTTCATCAGTTTCTCTTCTTGCTTCCAGGTGCTTCTGGGAGTTGTAGTCCACAGTTGCAACCAGCAGTAAGTTTGAGTGGGGGAAGGGATTTAACCCCCCTCCCTGGCCCCAGGTCCCAGCCGGCATGTGCCTTGAGGGGGAGTTCTCTCCTTCCCCCTGCTAGGCTAGGCTGCATCCCCAGCCAGGCTTGCCCCCACCCACCCTTTGTCAGCCAGCCCTCACTGCTCCAGCTAGGGAGCAGAGGGGCAAGGCCAGCTCTGCTCTCTGGAGCAGACAGCACAGCCCAGCCCAGGGCTGCAAAGCATGCTGGGGGACTGTACTTTAACTTGAACCAGGAAGGGGTCTGGGACAAAAGTTTCGTAAACTGGTTTGACCCAAATCAGTTAAGTCTGATAACTACATTCAACCAGGTTCATCTTAAACCAGTTTCGACCATTTTGAAACAGGTTTATGTGCACTGAGCTTCTGCTCTGTTATGAATATAAACCAGTTTCTGATCACTTAAACCCCTTTATATGAACTTCTGTCCCTAGCCATATGGTCTCTTCTGGAACTGCTGATAAGAGAACTCTAATCCCATCTGCTTCCTTGTTTTAAGGCTTTATGGTAGTCTTTAATTACACAATTAGGCACTATTTGTTCTAATGGACCCTTGCCTCATTGAGAGCACAGGAGGTACACAAGGAGACAAGATGTGGTAATGGCACCATGCTGGAACGTAACAGACCGGAGTCCTGTTTCTACCTCTGACCCAACAGTGTGATGTTGAACAAGACTCATTTATGATACGGTACATAATCAAGGGGACTGGATTAATGTTGCATGAGGCAACTTTACTTGCGGCACTAAATTTTTGAGCACTTGACTTTGGAAACTTCACATTCTGGAACACAATTTTTTTTCTATGCAACAGCACTTAAGACTTTAAACAACAGTGAGAATACAAACAAAAGGGTCAAAGGCTTACCTAGAATTTTACTGTAGTACAAGTCCCATTCTCCCCAGTAGCTTTGAAAAACATAGTCCTGGAGGTAGTAAGACACTATGTTTTTTATTCTTTCACCAAATGACAAGTTGTCAGTAAGTTCAGACAAGACTGCAGGTGCATACGAAGGCGGGGAGGGCATCTTTCCACAATGTCTCTCCACTGTTGAGGCTGGTGAGAACCGCAGAGAATACACAAAGGGAATTCCCAGTTTGACAGCAAGAAGGTCCCCACAGACAGTCACTGGGTCAGACAGAAGCAGGTCATACTTGCTCCTCTTCAGCTGTGCCATGAAGTCATGATTGCCTAGCACGCCATCACACATTTGTCTGTTTAAATCATGCCATTTCCTGACCTGCTTTCCCAGTTCCTTATAAAACCTCCAGAAAGTGAACGTAGTAGGTTTGTTATCCAGCCACAATCCAATTATTCCTTTGATCAAAGATTCAATGTGGCTCTTGGTAAAGGGTACAGAGTATATCTCAAACTTCTCAGCCGACTCAGCTTTGGGTTTGATAAAAAGAGAAGCGTTCGACACAAGGATGGTGACACCGTGATCTCGTTTTATCAGTTCCTGTATAATGATCTTAATGTTTAACCAGTGACTGGCCTCTGTAGGCCAGATCAGCACATTTCCACAGGAGATGATTCCTATAAATGCGAACTGAAATGCTATAAGTTGGAGGTGCTTCTTGCGTACAAGGTTTATGGCTGCAATGGAAGCCATTGTGGGGTTTGTGATTAGGTAGGCAGATATTTTCCACTCTTAACAAGATCCTATGGAATCATCCCTGGCCCAGAGCTCCTAAGGAGGAACAGGCTACTTCTCCAGACAAAGAGTATTTCATAAATATACAGTGTAGTTGACGACTCCACGAGTGCATATGCAACTTGGGCCTCTGCATTAAAAAAAAAAAAAAAAAA